TTTCGTTGGCTCTCTTCGCTTCTTTCTTCGTACTCGTAGGCAGCTCGCACCAGTAACACAAAGGAGGGCTCGTCTTCCGGCTAAATAAATTGATCCCAAGGAAAGGGGACCCTCGCCGATGTGCTACCAGCCTAATACGCGCTTCTGAACACCGGGTACATGTCACAGTGTCCTTGTCGACCAAAAGATTTCGAGAGCTCTTCTTGTCTCCGGTCCGGAGAGCGGGGCAAGCAGGGGAGTTGAGGACTCGCTCAGTGCCTGAATAAGACTTAAGACTGACTCTACTCTACTGACCGAAAACGGGCTGCTTTTATAGTTTCCGTCGATGCCTCTCACAAGCTCCGCCCACCAAAAATCAGCCAATCGGCGTGCAATGCAACAGTATCTCAAGAATTTCTTCTGTACACGTTCAATTAACTCAATATAAATTTTATAATGTGGTGACCATACACAGCTATTATTTTCCAAATGGGAACGCACTAATGATACATATAAGAAGTTCAGAGCAGAAACATTCTCAAAATCCCTTGTATGACTTTTGATAAAACTTAACATTTTCAATATTTTATTGTAACATACATTAATATGTTCAGAAAATGACAATTGACCTTAATTTATTGTCTATAAGCTTTTTAAAAGTTTTTATGTTAATAATAGAGTCAAGTCAATATCAATATCCGATTTATATATATTAAACAAGTTACATAACTGATAGACTGGCGAGCTTTTGTACAGGTTTGTTCTGGGAAATGGAAGATAAAACATTTTAGTATTTCTCAAGTTTAGGCGATTAATTACAAATGGTAATTGATTTAATATATCTGGACAGTTAATATTACCTTTGAGGATCCTATACTGTACATTGTACATAAAAATATTTCAATCCTTCTCTTACTTAACGAGAGCCTGTTAAACAAGCCCAGAAGATAATCATTGTCGCAGCCTCTTTGGAGAAATGTGCCAAATCTTCTGAAGTACACAGCACAGCCTTTAAAAATTTTCTCTGAACCTCCTCGATAATGTTAATCCAAACGCTATATTGAGGAGACCATATTATGGCGCCATACCTACTCTAGAATAGGTAAAACCGGTAAAACTAAACTGTCAAATGAATGTAAGTTAACATCAATATTGAGGTCACAGATTATTCAAATTCTTTGTATTTCTAATGATTAGACCTGACACTTTTTGAGCACTTTTAACTTTTGCGATTCAATTCAATTCAATAGGCTTTATTGTCAAAAAATACAGGATTTTTATAGACAAAGCAATAGCAAAAATAGTGAAAGTTAAATGCTTAACTTGTACTAGGGTAAGTGTATACAATTTATAATAGTTATTTATACACCAAGTGAGTTAAATGAATTTTTATTCATGAGAAGAAAGTTTAACCCACGAGCCCTAGCGAGTGGGTTAATTTTCTTCGAATGAATAAACATTTTAACTCACGTGATGTATACAAAATTTTATTCCATTTTGTGAAAATTTTAAAAATAAATTAGAAGAAAAAATGCCGTGAGTGAGTTAAAAATATTTTAAATCACTGAGGTTTCAGATTTTTAGTTGGGCAGAGTGACTTAAAATGCCGAGAGTGAGTTAAAATGTTTTTAAATCACTGAGGTGATAAACTTCTACTTACCTTTATTGTTATGCGTACAATAATGTCATTTTTAAACGTCAAAATGGGATAAAATCATTAAAATACAATTCATTAAATACCTAAAATAGTTAAAATTCTTTGGTGATAGTTATAATACAAAAAACAATGAGAATAAAACAGTCAACAATATCACAATACAAGACAAATTGTTTAGATGTCAAATATTAAATATACAAGTATACAATTTCCAAGTTGTTGGTACATATAATATACATGAAAACAAAAGACAAAAAACCTGAAACGAAGAGTAGGTAGGTACTTGCATTCTGACTAGAATGTGTCACTAAAGAACTCATCAGTATCATAATAGGCCTTCACAGTCCACAATTCTTTCACCGATCTCCGAAACCTCCCATAATCTTCACTAAGTTTGCAGTAATTGGGGAGTTTGTTCTACATTTTAACACTGTCATATATAAGAGACTGTTTAGGTTGAGTGAAATGAGGAATAGGTAGTGCAATGCAGCCATGATTCCTTGTATTATGAGGATGCGAAAGAGTTGAATCTTTATATTTCTTAAAGATTAAACAAACAGTTTTCAGGATAAAAATGCAGACAACTGTCAAAATTTTTTGTTTTTTAAAAAGTGGTCTACAATGATCTCGACGCTTGGCCCCGCAAACAAACCTAAGAGCTCGTTTCTGCAAAACAAAGACCGAGCCAAACAACTGTCTGCTGGGAAACTATCGAAGAATCCAACTATCGATATATCGATAGTAACGAATAAAAACTATCGATGTATCGATATAACTATCGATAAAAAAAGGGTTTATGTTTTGGACCTATTTTGTATTTGGGGTTTCAGCGATTAGTACGACAGGGCACAAAAAATATTAATGTTAATGAACTCCAACTACAGTGTGCAGAAGAAGGCCCTACCCCTACGGCCTACGCCCTACAATAAAACACAACGAGAGAGAAAAAGTACCAAAATGAAAGTTAATATCGTGAATAACAATGTTTAATTACACACGTTCTTTTATCTTTAAACTGGAAGTAAACGTAAAGAACAGAAAGAAATAAACACCACTATGAACTGAAATAGGGGTTAGTTGAGTTGTGTAGGTTATTGTTAACTGATAATAACAGGAAACGGAAACATAGTTCATCTTCATCTTTTTCAACTACCATACCATCAAAACCAAAATAAAAAACAATCATAAATATTGAGAAAGATCAAGGTTGTTTGAAAGAGGTAGGTTGCCTGGTTGCCTAATAACTTTCATGGCGTCATCTGGGCTGCCTCAACATAATTCCAAATCTCCAGGCCCCCAGACCAGATGACGTCATCAAGTTAACCATTATTAGACGACCCAGTAACTTTGGGAGCCTTGATGAAAGATGAAAAATGTATGATATTTCTTGACACTTGACATTGATGATATGAGAAAAGACAGGAAGTCTGCTATCGATTGTCCAAGTAGAACTATCGATAGTTCGATAGTGTAGCAAACTATCGATATATCGATAATTGCTATCGTTAGTTTTCCACCTCTAGTCTGCTGCAATAGCCCCAAAATGCAATGCCATACCTCAAGTGAGACTCTATTAAGGCAAAGTATACTGTTCTTGCCATCTTACTGCCAAGTTCTTTATAAGTCTGCCGAACTGCGAAACACCCAGATGACAGCCTAATATGGTCAAAAAAAGGGAGACCTGAATTGAATATTATTCCTAAATCTTTCTGTTCATGAACTCTTTTAAGGCTGGTTTCATTGAAAGTATAATCATACTCAATGGTGTTTCCGTTTAAAGAAATTAACATACAAGCACATTTATCTTTATGCAGTTTAAAACTATTATCACTACAATAGTTAACAACATTGATAAAGTCATCCTGAAGCAGATCGGTTATAACTTCCAAAAACAGTTTAAAATCGTCAGCAAATAATAAGGCAAAAGAATTTTCAACACTCCCAACAATTTTATTTATTGCAATTATGAAAAGAAGGGGTCCCAAATTAGAGCCTTAAGGCACTCCTGAGGTACCAATATAGGTTTCAGATTTGCATCCCGTAACCTCAACATATTGGTACCTTTTTATTAAATAAGACTTAATCAAGTTGATCAAAAAAATTGGGTACATCCATATCAGATAAGGCTTTAACTATTACATTGTGGCTTATTTTGTCAAATGCCTTCTTCGTGTCAGTATAGATTACGTCTATTTGATGTTTTTTATTCAATGGTTTGTGAAAAGACTATTAAATTTGTAAGTGGAGACCTTTTGGGCAAGAAGCCATGCTGATTATTGAAAATTTTACCAGTAACCTCATCAAAGAGTATATCAGAAATTACACATTCAAAAATTTTGGAAACTGCACAGACAATAGTTATGGGTGGATAAGTTTTTATATTATGCCGATAGGAATTACCTTGCTAATATTCCACTTGTCTGGATATGTGGATGTTTTTAAAATAAGATGAAATTTGCATCAGCAAAGAGTGCCAAACTTGACCAATCATGATCTTTAAGAAGATTATACATTAATTGAAAGTTAACTTTCTTAAAATTAAATTTAGTTGTTTCTATAAGTCTACAATATTTAACCATATTTTTTGTCTCAAAAAATATATTCAAACAAGGATGGTGACTATCAGTAGGCAATAATGGATCCTCCTCACATTCAACTGTAATATTTTCGATTGGGGAAATAACAAGATCTAGGAGGACATTATTTGCATTTTTGATCTGATTATATTGACACAAACTGATAAAAAAGATCTTAAATTATTAACTATTTCATTACATGTTGTCATGTTATTGTTAACAAAACCTGGCATATTAAAATCTTTCAAAATAAGATTGTCTGAGTTAGGTACATTTAACAGATTCCTTTTAATCTTGTCAAAGAAATGTTCATATACTATTAACGAACTATTTGGAACAATATAAACTAACACTAAATATAAAACCCTGTTCCCTTCCAGCTTAATGGAAAGGCATAATGCTTCCAGATCATCATCAAATAGTGATACTTCTGAAACCACTAAGCTATTCTTAACAGCCAAAAGCACACCCCTTCCCTGAGATTTACCAGTTAGTAGGTATACTATCCCGGTCTTTCCTGAATACAAGTGTGTGTGATTGTATCATTCCTGGGACAAAGAACAGAGAAAATTTGTTGTAATTCATAACGATATTTGACTGCTTGTACCTTTTGTGAGCTTTTTTTTTTGAATGATTAGGGATTTCAATTCACTTGAAAACCAGATAGGAAATCTGTCGTTAGACCGACACTGTTTCACACTGGCACAAACAAATCAAAACATTTGGAGATAACAGAGTAAAAATTACTTAAATCATCTCACAAAATAATCCCCTCTCGATTGTTTCAGAAGTAGAATAAAGCTGGCAAGACGTAAAATCCAATTCGAAGACGCGGAAGAACGAAGAATCAAAGAAGAAGGCGCCCAAACTCTACTAAACTTGGCCGGAGTTGCTACTTTGAATTTGAAAAGGTAATTTTTTTTAAACTGTTTATTTCTTTTTATATTTTAAAATAATTTGTAGATCAATTCCTACAACCAATGAGGAAAACGAACCGACACCGAAACTGATCCGATACAGCCACCACCAACCGGAAAATTCCTCCTCGGAAGAGGAGCCGCAAAGGCACGTGCCTTTCAAGCCACGTTTGTTGAGAACCAAAAGAAAGGAAAACGCTTCGCCTCGGAAGATTTTCAATAACAACCAAGACGAGTGGCTGAGGCACAGACGCGAACTCGATATCGACCAATCGAGGTAATAAATAGAAAATCGAAATTATTGTAGTAGCAAGAAAAAATATTGTCAGGTTATACATATTTTTTTTTTTTTTAATTAATTTTATTAAATAGTAATTGTTACTTTAGGGAAAAATGAATTAGTTATACATATAAATAATTATTATTGTGTAAATATTGTTTTGTTTGACAAAATGACCACAAGAGGTAGATAGTTTTCCCTAGGGTAACTTTTTTTTTGTTATTTTTTTTTTTTAATTTAGGAAAAAAAATATTGCGGTAAGGTCTTCCATTGTTTGGGTTGTTATATATTCAAATTAGTTAAATGATAATATATCATTTGAAATTTTGACTGAAACTTCAAACTCAATTTTCTCAAAAATTGTCGTAAACGCTAACGATTTCAGCTAAATACCATCTGAAAGTCCTTATCAACAGCTACAATCCCTGGAAATTTTGTCCCAGTACCGATTTTGGTTACCGAGATATTGAAGTTTGAAGTTTTGGAAATTAAATTCCAAAGGGGGGTAGCATTAGAAAAAAATGCAAAAAATTGAAAATGTTTATTTTTAGATTTTTCTAAATTCTGACTTCAGAAATCGATAGAGCGAGTCCAAATTAGTCAGAAACAACTCTATCAGTTACATTTAACAATTTCGATGAGAAAATAAAATTTAAAAGGAAATCGCATTTTTGGCTCAGAAATTTTTTTGAAATCTTGATACGCTCATGAATAATTGCCTATATCTTTTATGACTTTCGTGAAAATTGCTTATAATTATACAGGGTGTCCACTTAGTGTGATATCGGACGATATCTTCTTACAGGGTGATGCAAGAAAAAAAAATTTAATTACAAAGTTGTTTGATACTCTATTATGCATTAGTTAAAAATATTTTTGAGAATTTCATACATCTGTCAAAACTAGTATTCCAACAATGAACTGACATGTTTTGATTGTTGATTTGAACCAATCAGATTGTAATTACGCGATAATTTGCACTAGTGCAAATTATCAGATAATTGCATAGTAACTGGTGCGAAAACTGGTGTTTTGCCATTTTTTCACAAAAAATTTAAATTTTTGATTTATGAAATTCTCTCATTAAATACAACTCGTGCAATGGAAATATATTTATAATTTTCGACAAAGGACCCCGCACACTTCTTATGGGATTTCTGACCGCGGTCAAATTTCACCAAATTTTAGTATGTTATAGATCTGACCTTTGTGATCAATAACTACCATGGGCTCAACTCAATCCTATAACTAGTTTTTGAGATACAGGGTGTCCAATGTGTGAATGTCCAATATGCATTATTACACCATGGAACGCATTTTCGATGAATATTACTATTTTTACGATAGTTGTTATTAATTTTATTAATAATAATAATAATATAGAGGCTGTCATCATCATTATAGATGATCACTCGATACCGAGTATGATTATCTACTATTCTTATTGTCATCGATTATGAGTTTTCTGATGGCCATATATACATTCACGAATATCTGTCATTTTTCAGGAATAACCCTGACTTCTTAGTTTTGGGAAAAATTAATTAGGATCCTATTAGGGCACAGAAGAATGCATTAGTTGTAAATCCATCATAAACTAAGGCTATTTTGTTTGGAAGGAATATAGATGCGAGAGATTAGCTGCTTGCAGGTGTTGAGGCATTGTTGCTAGATCCTGCTGTATCTTTTACAGGGCATGTTAGTGCATTTTGTCACAACACATGTTTTATTTTAAAGAAGTTTTATGAATTTGAACATCTTCTTCCTACTAATACCAAAATCATGTTATTAGAGTCGCTAGTCTTGGCACACTGCTATTATGCAGATTGTGTTTATGGATCCTTTCTAACAGAACATAACATCATAAATATAGACTACAAAAGATTCAGAACAATTGTGTACGATATATATTGAACATAAATAGACGAGAACATGTTTCTCCTTACATTACTAACAGTGAAATGCTCAAGATGAGAAAAAGAAGATTTTTACGAATGTATTTTCTGATTTTCACACAATAAACCTCGAGCCACACGCTTTTCCACAATCTTGGAACACCCAACCTTTGACAGCTAGCAGCATTGTTTCTTCCTCTGTTCTCTCGCTCCTTCCTCCAGGTCCCTCTTTTCGGTCTCGTGTCTGCGTCGCTGCTCTTTAGAACTTTGTGGTGCCATCGTAGATCGTTGGTATCGATGCGGCACTTTGCCATATGTTCCTATTTAGAACAACTTTGTAGCGTTTTTGTTGACCTCCTTGATTCCGTTTTCCCTCCTTCAGTTGACTGTCCTTCAAAACACTACTACTTCTAAATGTACGTTCGCGGTCTTGCCATTTAATCTGTAGGATCCTTCTCAGGCATCGCTGGTGATATTTTTCTAGGCTTTTTATGTGTTTTCTGTAGGTGGTCCATGGTTTGCATCGATATGTAAGTGTTGGTATTACAACTGCATTGTAGACGCGAAGTTTTGTCTCAGCACTGATGTCGTGATTGTCGGAGACTCTCTCTAGAAGTCGCCCGAGTGCTGCGCTAACACATTTTAAGCGATGTTGAATTTCAGCGTCAATAGCATTCGCTGACAGATGGCTCCAAGGTATGAGTAGTGTTCTACGTTCTGCAGAGAATGATCATTCATAATTTTATGGTTATTTCTGGGGCTTGGGGATTAATGCCTGATGCAAGTTGGTGCAGAATCTGCGTCTTGTTAAAGTTGACTTCTAGGCCGATTTTCCTGTACGCCTGGTTGAATGCATTAATATTTGGTTGAAGATCTTCCTCTGTATTGGCCATTACGACGTTATCATGCATATTGAAGTTCAATTGTGGATTTTGTATGTACAGACAAGTTGTACCAAACAACCTGTTAAAAATGCAGAAGCTATCATAACTAAAAGTAAGAATAGAATATACATTACCTACTATTAACAGTTGATTAATAAAAATTAAAATATCTAAAAAAACTATTGGAGTAAGATATGTCTGTCTGCAGCATCTTGTACTACATTTAGAACCGTCCTATTAGGTAATCTAATGACAGCTTCATGCCTTGCATATCCCAAATACCAAATGACAGCTGCGATATGTGCGCATGAACCTATGGTTCGTGCACCTGTTTTGCACTGGCAAAAGTGACCTAATATAGGCCCATTTTCTATTTCTTGCTCAATATTGTCATCAGCTACATGTTCCGGATTATACCAAATAACTAGTTGGTATTTTACTTGATTTCTGTGCCTTGACCGAATTCACACACGAATATGATTTGGCTGATTAAATATGGTATCAATTTCAAAAAAAAGATTACCATGCTCTTCAATATTATCCTGTATATAGGATGGTGATAATTTAATTTGGAAGGTTCCATACATAATGTGTCTTAACTGAACCATATTTAAAACAGGAAAATCTCCAAATTGATTTTCTCGTAAAGGTTCCACTGACAAAGGTTCCCATCTGCCATGGCGTCTTAAAAGTCCCTCACTTTCTAATCTGGCTTGAAGTACATTGGGTTCGTTTACTCTTTGGAGCGTTTATTGAGCCAGTTGTTCCGTGGCTTCCTCCATGTGTAGCGTTGGACGAAAACGGTTAATTAGGGCACAAGCAATCCGGAAAAAGCTTCCCAAATTATTTATTTGCGTATTTGGAAAAATGTTACGAAATATTTTAAATATTGATTGGATATGTCCGTTTCTGCTTTCAATTACCCACCTCTGTTTGGTAACAATTCTGCCAGCATTAGCCTCTGCAGTTGGTAATTGATTTCTGCCTTGTAAAGCTGGTGGAATTTGTACCGATATGCCAACATTGTTCAAAAACTGACGGGCATCACGATAGCCTCTGTCAACAATTAATACGTCACCCGGTTGAAGCCACTGTTGAAGTTCTTAATCTCGATCGTATTGACATCTTAAAATTGCTGCATCATTGTTCCTTGAATCTGCGAAGAATGGGCCATGAACGTCTAAAATATAGCCATCTGGGGCGACCATAAGTACTGGTTTTACAAGGTGACAATGTTTATGGACTGAGAAGGACTGTCTTAAAGTTTGAAAATTTTTACTGCGCTGAATATGTAGATAGGTGCCATCAATACAAAGAATTGCTTTTGGATTTTCAGGTTCGTCATTAAATAATTGATTAGCGAAAACTGTCACGTGTTGTGCAATAAACTGCTCCCGATTTATATGGGCAAGACCTAAATTATGAGGCACAAAATTAAGAATTAAAGACTCTCTCACCTTGTTCATAGCTAAAGACACAGATTGTCGACTACTGTACGAAAACATAGTTGCCAAGAAAATATCGGAAAGTCCTTCTCTTAGTTTACATAAAAAACATAATAAATCTTTTTTCGTAATTGTTCTACTTCTCCCATAAATATTTACATTAGCGCAAACATCGAATACCTCCCGAAATTGCGCCATATCTAAAGAAGATAATGCACATAGTTCTTCATCACTAAAATGATTTTCATGTGAAAAGATAACATCTCTTTGGCTACTTTCTTGCATTTTGGACATGAAAGAAGAAAGCTCTCTTCCTTTTAATTCGTAAGGCCTTCTAAGGGATCGAATTCCATTTTGTACGGGATAAAGTAAAAAACCATTATCGTCCAGATGAACAGGACAAATCCTACAGATGCTGGGTATGTATATACCTTTTTGTATAAAGGTTGAAACTCTTGTTTCTAACGATAATTGTTGAATGTTTTCAGGATTTTCGCAAATAAGTTATTGATGTGCACTATATTTTAAAGGTAGATTCATTATCGTTGGATCGGCGTCCTCTTCATACGCATGAATTTCCTCTAAAATGCTTCTATTGCAATTTAGGCATAGACGACTATTACCATTCACTTCCATTGCCGCCGGTAGTGAAAGTTCTTCTCTTCGCCTCTTGGCAATATTCACTTTTTGGTTATCATTTTGCCTTAGGATGGCCATCTGTCTGGGATTACCCTCCACTTCACATATAAAACACTGAATTTGCAATCTAAAAGCCATTTTTAGGCACTGACTAATTTTGACAACTTTCTAAAGACAAAAATTGGTTATAAAATGTTATCACATAACCATGGTTATTGTTAATTTAATATTCTCAGTAAGCATTGTTTCGTGAGGGTTCATACTGTTTGCCTTCCTTTTTTAACAAATGGAAATTGACTGGAACAAATCAATGACGTCAAAAACGTTTGTTGGTTCTTAAACCAGAAGTCATTCGTTTTAATTTGTCAAAAAAATTGAATATGTCATATGAATTAATCTACGACAACCCTTTTTTTCCAAATTATGGCATTTTCGATGTCAAAAGTATGAACCCTGGTGAAACGGACCTTACTTATTTTTGTGCCTCAGAATTTAGGGACTACATATGGAGCAAGACTCGGAACAACTGGCTCAAGAAAGTAGGCTATATAGTAGTCCCTATCTCAATCATATAAACTGCTGGCAAAAAAAAAAAAAACGGGACAAGTAATTTTTAGCACCATATTCAATTTGTAATAACTTTTTCAAAATTATGTTAATGAGGTTTTTGGTATTCGAAAGCCCATGTATATCTCATTAGAATTTTTTTTTTTTTTTTAAGGAATGCATTTCTCAAGTAGGTAATATACTGGGTGAATAATAGCAAAAGAACAAAGTTGGATGTCTGTCATATTTCTTTTCTCGGATTCGAACAGCATTGCAGGTTTCGAAAGATTATTTTTTTAAAGGTTCCGGGACACTTTTACAGTGGGGGAAAACGTTTCACAATCCATTAAAACGTAAGCCACATCGTTTCAAAATGGTGGTGCTAAAATGGATCTTCAGGAGGTTTTGCAAAAACGATCCGTCCAAATCGTCTCGAGATATTGGCCCAAAGTATCGCCTAACCAATTTTGAAAGCAAACAAAAGGCATATAAACCAATTTGAATAGATTTTTAAAAAGAACAATTATCATAATTTGCCTAATTTGAGGTGTATGATTTTCTTGACCCCTGGTATAATGTGAACAGGGCCAGCTGCAAAAAAAGCGAGCGAGTCGTGGAACCTCTAAAAAAAAAGCTTTCGAAACCTGCAAATATGTTCGAAATCGATGCAACCGTTTTCAAGCTACAGCCTTTTAAACATTGTGCTTACAAGATTTTGCCAACTTTGTCATTTAGTAGTGTATCTGCTGCCAAAGGGCACTTATCGAAAAACTGGCCAATACGTCCGGACATCCAATCAAGTATACGGAAATCCAAACTTTTTGTACTTTGCATCAGTCTATTATTCACCCTGTATATAACTTGAAAACTGCATTTCTTCGAAAAAAAAATATTTTTCTCACCTGAAATTCAACATGGACTTTCGAATACCAAAAACCTCATTAAAAAAAAAAATAATTTTAGAAAAGTAATCACAAATTGAATAGGTGTTAAAAATTTCCTGACCGGTTTTTTTTTTTGGCCAGCAGTTTAATTCTTGCATTTGAGCCCAGTTGTTGGGTAAAGCCTGTAGTGTATAGTATAAATAAATAATAATAATTATCATAATATTCATCGAAAATGCGTTCCATGGTGTAATAATGCATATTGGACATTCACACATTGGACACCCTGTATCTCAAAAACTAGTCATAGGATTGAGTTGAGCCCATGGTAGTTATTGATCAGAATGGTCAGATCTATAACATACTAAAATTTGGTGAAATTTGACCGCGGTCAGAAATCCCATAAGAAGTGTGCGGGGTCCATTTGCACTCATGCGTTTTTAACTGAAAAAGGCACTCGTGCACTTCGTGCATTCGGGCAAATTTCCCAAAAATTAT